TTCTGTTTAAGGGGCTGCATATATATAGTTACATAAGGCTTCTATACCACAAAACATGAAACTGATCCCCTCAACTAGTTGGAGAAAATCCTTGGAAGGATATTGTTAATCGGTAATATATAGTATTTATTTGGGATCATTCTATGCTTGAAATGCATCAACTATTGAATGATTTTAATAATGTCCTAGGTAGCAATGACTATTAAATCTACTAACTATACAAGTATTTATGAATGTTAATGAAATGAGCTGTAATTTACTATACTAGTCTTGATTCCTCATGGTTGTATGAGCTGTAATAGTGGTTGAAAAACTTCTCGTCCAGGGTTCGCTTAAGCCACACCTCCATGGCTCTTTGTTTGAAAGAACCGTTCAGTGGCTAGTAGGATGTAAATTTAATTCCACATTACCTGTAACTTATTGTAAATGTCTCATGTACTATATATGAATGAAATGTGTTCTAATTTGTTTGCTTCTCAAAAACAGCCTGCACTGTACCTTAGTATGGGGCTTTGCTGTCTAGCTCTAGCAATTTCAAGGCACCATCTAGTTAAAGGTATTTATTTGGAAAATGTTGATGGTACTAAAGCCAGTGAAGTTACATTTTAGTGATGGATTAGTTATGTATGCTGATCATGCCATTGTTACAGTCTCATTAGGTGTTTAAAAGGAATTCGGGACGACAATGAAGACTCTGCTGTTTTTAGTCCTCTACTTTCAAAACTGAAGCAATTTCAAGACTTGGATTTGGTATTGTTGACAAGTTATTCTTGAAACTGAGTAGTCCAAGTTTTAATTAAGTTTGCTCTGAACTTGAAAATCTGTTTGGCCCTCAGTTTTATTTCTGTTTGGTACTCCGTTTCTAATGCATAATTTGGGCTGAACTTGAAAATCTGAATAGTCAGGAGATGGATCAAGATTTGATCAAATGATAATTGTTAAAATTTGAGCTTGTTCTTATTTGAGATTTGGCTTTATTTAAGATTTGATCTTGTTGAAGCTGTTTAGTTTGATAAAATTGGATCATTAATGTCTCTAGTTCTAATTCATTGGAGTGTTATAGATTACTAGAATGTGCTAGTTTCATTGTGACCTATACGAAGGATCTATCCCATTCAAAATTTCCTAATCAGTGGCTTTTGAGTGGTTATCAACACAAAAGACATTGTGTATCTTCTTTTTGTAGGTGTCGAAAAGGAAAGTGAAGACGACCTTACCTAGTTACGAAGATTTCTTGATTGTTGATTGATATATTCTAATATTCATTTTGCTATATGGAACGTTGTGAAACTTATCATATAATTCATGAAATCATGTAAACGCTAGCATATGATCATTTGGTTTGATCATTTTGCATTTAAGGATGCATACAATAAATAAATAAATAAATAAATAAATAAAGGCATATATTTATTTGTTGCATCATATTAAAGAATAGTTGTTGCAATAGACGTATCTATGGGCTATGGCAGTGGTTATATTGATCCATTGCAAGAACCGTTGCTATAGATCTATGATCACACGAGTTGATGTAACGCATGCTAAAGTGTTGCTCTAGATCTATATGGCTACAATTTTACTTGTGTTATCGTAGGCCCAATTTCCAATAGTGAGAAAAAGAAAAGAAATATATTCTTCAACAAAAACTAAAAATAAAAAAAATTATTTTCAAAACCACAACCCCATCTACCCAATCCCTTTTCTCCCTTCTGAACAAACTCCACATAATTTTTACCAAAATTGCATAGCTTTGGTTGAAACTTTTTTTTGGTGACCTCCTGAAAAGGAGATGGAAGGGGAGGGGGTTCGCCTAAGAAGAAGATGAACAGGGGGTGGGGTGATATATTTTTTTCATTTTCGGGATGAATTTTTTTTTAAGAGCTGAAAATTCATTATTGATTTTAATTTTATAAAAATAAATTAAAAAAAGGGAAAATTACGTGGTTAAGTAAACTTTTACTACTTAATTACTCATTATAGCTATAGTTTGTTATAATTACCACTCGCAATCAACATTAACCATTAATTACATGGGCTGACTTCGGGTTTGTATAATTAGTCATGTTTGTATAAATCGCTACATTTGTATAATTCGCAACTAACAATTCTTTGTTTGATTTGTATCTGTATACAATGGTTTGTATTTGTATATGACAATGATTTCCTTTGGTTTTTCACTTAGGTCATCATATACATTCAATCTTTTTGTGTATAACTTTTTAAAGTTTGTATAAACGTGTAGTTTTTGAATTTTGTATAATTGTTTAAAGTTCATATGTTTATGTTTGTATCAATTCGTTATTTTGAGTTTTATCATATTTGTATAATTTCAGAGTTTTTATTACTCAATTATGCAAAAACATGAGAATTATACAAACATACCTGTGAATTATACAAAAGAGATGCGAATTATACAAATCATTGCCCTCACTCGCTCGCCTCTCTCCTTCCTCTCCCAATCTCTCTCGCCAAAAAATACAAATACATATGTATAATATACAATTATCTAACCAATATACATATACAATTCACCTCTCTTCCACTCTCTGCCCTCTCTCGCTCGCCTCTCTCCTCCCTCTCCCAGTCTCGCTCGCCACTCTCCTCCCTATAACATGTATCTATGAATCGTAATTAGCAAACTATAGTTATGAAACGAAATTAGACTAATTTTTAGTGGCTATATGTAAAAGCTCCTCTTTAAAAACACCACATTTCTCAAAGAATGGTGAAGGTTTTTATAATTTTTTGATGAAAAATAGCAATGGTGAAACATATGTTAATGGTAAAATATTAAGTGGAGAAGAAAGAGAAAAATAATAAAAAGAAGAAGAAAATAAAAGTATTTTTTTATATTAAAAAAAGAGAGAGAACATTTTTAGGCTTTTCACGTGCTTGTTTTGTATGAAAAACACGTAACTTGCCAAGTGTGTGAAAAATGTCAAAATGGAACAGTCACTCCTAGTACAGTGATTGAATGATACAAGTTTTAGTTTACCCGAAAAATTTTATGGTGTTTGAGGGACAAGTATGAGGTGGTCTACAAAAGTTGTATGAGTCTCATGTCATAATTTGACAAGTGGATAATTGGGTCTCATTTTCAGAAAAATGGGTCAAAGTTCCTTCTCTCTCACTTTTTAACTTTTTCCCATTATTTTAACTTTTCCACTTTTTGTTTTGTTTTAACCATTATTTCAAATTTTTGTTATTTTCCTTATCTTTAAATAATTTTAAAAGTATAAAAATTTAGCCTAATTCATCATACTCCTAACATTTGGTATTATTTTCTATCCTATATTAGTTATATAAATTACTAAAAATAATTATTAAATTATTATCGATTAACAAAATTAAACTATCATTTTTTTTATTTTCATTACCCTAGCAATTATTTTTTAAAGTATAAACAAAATTTGTAAAGTTATAAAAAAAAAATATCTTAAAGAGTAAATTAGTAAATTATCATTTTTATTAATAATTTCTTAAAGAACGTGTAAAAAAAAGTAAAATAACTAATACGAAAGGAGTATAAAATCAACTTTTTTCTCTTCTCAATAGTTTCATAATTTTCTAATTTCGTAAACACTTAAATGTATCTAATATTCTCCAACAAGAAAATATAACAGAAAGACCATCCGTAATCTTCACAAATAATTACACAAGTTTTGTTTCTATTTTCATGTAATCCAAAATCGAAAATCATCCATAAACTCCTACATACATACATACTCTCTCAATTTATATGTATATGTTTATTCTTGAAATTCAAGCTATGTGAAATTTAATTGATATTTTTAAAATATTTTTTTTTATTATATTAACATGATAAGAATTGCAACTTATAGTGTTTGTTCAAAAATATAACCTTCTCACTAAATTGCAATTCAACCTAAAATATTATTAGTTGCAATTCTTGTCATGTTAATATAATAAAAATATTTTATAGCTTGAATTTCGAGAACAAAAAATAATAAATTAATAGAAAGTGAGTAAAATGAAAAAAATAATTAATTAAACTAAAGTTAAAATTACGTTAAGGGTTAAAAAGAAGCTGAGAAGACAATGTGTGATAAGAAAGAAAAAGTAAGAGAAAAGATTAAAATTTAAGGAGAGAAAAAGTAAGAAATTCAGATAGGTAATAGTAGCCAGTGGGTCCCAAATTATACAAATGGCAGCCAAAGAGGCCCTCATACAACTGACAATAAGTGTGCCTGGTACAAAATAAAAATGTTCATGTGTGTAAGTGAAAAATGATGTCGACTTTATGCGTCTGTCGATTGATTCATCCAAAATAAAATGATAAGCTTATTCTTTTCACATCTAATAATAGTGTCATTGTTGGGGTTGAAATAGACAAAGTGTCATGTACAAGCTAATAATTGCAAATCATAGTGAAGATAAATCAGATAACAAAGAAAATTATACTATAACAATCATAAGGGTTATATATATATATTGTTGACACCCAATTTTGACCCTATGTAGTATGAATTAATTTTTGAGCTTCTTTAATTTCAAATGAGTTGGAATAATTAATTTTATAAAAATTCAATTATTGTTCAAGTTATTTTTTAAGTAATTTTAGTAATTTTATAATTTTGAAATAACAAATATGTTTTACATAACTAGTATATTTTAAGAATATCCAAAGAATTGTCTCAAAAAGATTTTGTTTTCACTTAAATATTTTATTAAATTAGTTTATTTTAAGTCATGATTATAATTTTGAATAAATTAGTTTGAAATTAAGTTAACAATTTTATTTCGTTGAGATTAGAAAGCTCATTGGTTAATTATATTGATTCGTCTTATGTATTTATTACTCGAGTTTACTAAGTAAATTCAATTTAATTTGGTTATGTTCACAATTCAATAGACCAATTGCAATTCACTTAGTCCATTTCAGTCCCTTCAAACATTACTTTAGCAGCCCATTGTTGCCTCAATTCCCAGCTATCCCAATTCTTTCTTTTTGCCAGAAAACCCAGCCCACCAACCATAGGGCGAAGCGGCGACCTCATTCATTCATTCTAACAACTCATTGCCCTATTTTCTCTAGATCTAGTCTATATAATGATAATGACCGAGACCCGTACATAAGATCGTTCTAGCTTATCTCCTTCTAAGGAAGTCTGAGCTCCTTCCCATGCTAAGAGCCTTTCTAAACTCTTGAACTTAAGAGAGGCTTCTTTTCAAGCTGATGAGTAGAAATTGAGTATAAAGAAAATGACAAAAGAAATCTCACACGGAGATCAGTGTACCCATAGATCTATATGAAAAATAGATATATGAAAATTCAAGAAATTCGTTTTCAAAAACCCGGGATTTCAGAGGCGAACGACGACATAAAGGTTCCCCAAGTCATCCATGGCGGCCGGGCAAGCTCTCCGTCGAGCTGCCGATTTCCCTCCTATCCTAATGACAAAACCAGATTCAGAGGTTGTTTCTCTTAAGACGAAAACGTACGATTGCAGTCACGAAGGGTTTCCACCCTACGTCATAATTTTAATGCTTTTTTGTTAAGTAACATGAGCACCTGGGGAGACCGGAGAGCTGTTGGCGGGGCAGAAGCACTCTTAACTGGGGGGAATGCTTTCTATTCGGCCTTCGATTCGATGATGCCTGTCTCGTTGTGGTAGAATAGTACTCCACCATCCGATACCAAACGCGTACGGAAACAAAAGAACGACCCATGTCCATCGTTCTTCTTCTCCATAGCGAAACCAAACCCAGAAACAAAGCAAATCGCGAACCAAATCCAATTCAAAACCCAACAAACTAGCCCATCGTTCGCCATAGACACGCTCCTCTCCCCTTTTTCTTCCAAAGCGCAAAAATCAATACCAAGAACCTTAATTTCGTCATCCAACTACACCGCCAATCACCATTAACAGTCTCTCCCTCCATATTCAAAGATTGCAAACCTCGAGCTTGATTTGTTGACTTTGGATTAGATAAAAATCTCACCCAAATATGATACGAATCGGAGCTATCACATCGAGTCCAGAATTTTAGGGGTATGCTTTCCTCTTGCTTGTTTTTCCATCCATGCTCTCCAATCAATCTCTCATCTCCCGTTCAAATGGCTATTTGAATTCAAACCTTTTTTTTTTTTTTTGCTATAAATACATGGTATTGGTGCCATTTTAGAAACGGACAGAGGATTGAAATTTGAAGGTTGGAGAATAGTATTCTCTGAAATCGAACCCACGAAAGTTGGAGCCTCAGATTTTCAATTTTCTTTCGAGTTGTTTTGTTCATCTGTTGGTGGGGGTCAGTAGTAGTAGGAAGCTCTTCAAAGTTCGTTGTCTCAGGTTGCTGCTCCAGGAAAGGTAATATTCTCGTTTCTGCTTATCGCTCTTTCCTTTCAGATGAAGTGTGTTCTGTTTTTGTCACTGTTCGAATAGTATAATTCTTCCAGATTTCAAGATTTGATTAGTGACTTGTTACACCTCTTCATACTGTTTGTTGTATTCACTGCTTAAGTTTGGTGTATGGATTATTCGGAGATCATGCTCAATAAAGGTGTATCACTCATATCAGTACATATGTTTATCTGTTGGTTGTAGCTTTGAATTTCTAGTGTATATGTTGTTTTCGTCTTCATTTGGAATGAAGCTAAGACAAATTTTCTTATCCGTGTCTAAGTTGGTGTTTAACTGCATCATTCCTCCCTTCTCCATATGGCTTGAGATTCGTTTTCTCACTGCATAGAATGATATTTTGCTTGGAATTTCTGCCTTCTCCAGCTTAATAATTGTTGTTTAAATGGTTTGTTGTTTGCTGTTTGTAAGTCAAGTCAGTACAAATTTGTGTGTTCCTGTTTTAATCGGCTGCATCTTAGATATGTTGGAGTCGAATTTATTTTTTTTAGTTTACTTGAGGCTTGATTTTATTTGCATATCCTTTCATGTGTGTAGCATGTTGATACATGATCTCATATGAGCTTCCATCAACTCGAATTCGTCATGTTTATGGCTTCTCTGTTCTTTCTTTTTCTTTTAAGTAAAAAAAAATCAGCTTATTGTAGCTCTCTTAATTTGTAAGATCTTCATGATAATTGGCATTGATTATTGATTAGATGTATAACATATTGTTTCATTAGCAGACTCTCTTTATATTTCTAATTATTGTTTGAATGCTAAGTATTTGTTTTATAATAAGATGGTTCATTCCTATGATGTCTATGCATATTTCTTTACAGATTTTGTTGTCGTATATGTATGTGTTGGAGAATGCCCATAAGTCTAGGACTCTAATAATTAAGTGTTAAGGTTTTCTCTGTTTGTTAGCTTTGTTCCCTGTTTCTCTTAGTGCAGCTTGCTTGTCATTATTAAGTTTGAGGTGTTTGCTTTGTTGATATATATAGTTAGTTCATTTTGTCTTCTTAAATTCATCTGGAACACTGGTTTTGATGACCCTTTGAGTTTCGAGATACTTAAGCTATTCTCACCTCAATTAAAATCATGTCTCACTTTTTTTTTCTTCATCTCAAATGCTAATTTTTGTCTTTTCGTTTGTTGTGTGAACTCCATCTGAGTCTACTTTGGACTCCTCTCCTTGCATTTGTGAGTATCGAGCCAGCCATAGGTGTTCGAGGGTGTAAGGGAAGCAGATTACAGGTCTCGAAAAGCAGAAAAATGGGTTATATACATTCGATATACATAGATATACAAATGATGTATAAAAAAATGGGAATTGGGTAAAAAAAGCCCAAAAATTGCAGCAAAATTGGCCCAAATTCATTTCTCTTTTACCTTTAAATTATTTAATTGTCTTTATTTATTGTTTGTTTTTCTTATCATTAACTCTAACTTTAGAATTGTGAATTAACTTAATTAGATTCCCCAAAGGATGAATTATTTTCTTTGTGTTGGTTTACTTTAATAAATTTTATTTTATCAACTCTCGCACCCTTATTTACTTATTCAAATGTTTTCTATTCAAACTATCACTTACTTTTAACTAGTTTAAAATGATTTCTTGGTTTATCAACTAAATTGGTGTAAATTATTTTTAAAATGATTCAAACAAATGCTAATTAATCTAGTTTTGTTAAAATTTTAATCACTTGCAATTTAATTCAAATATTCCATTTTAGGTCTTTTTTTTAAAATAAAAATAAAAATGAAAAAATGATTATTTATTTAACTATTTTCTCAAAGTTCGAATATTGTAAATTACATTTTGTATTAAATCATTTTTTTCAAAGAATTAGTCAAAAAAAATATTTTAGTCAAGTCGTAGAATAATCGCATGTTAGCGGCTACTTTAAGTGTTAATACCTTCTTAGAATAAAAATAAGAACTTTTTACCCATTTTCTCTAAAATTTTAAAGGTCTATTTGTTAAGACCTTTTTAAATTAAGTTTTCTTAATTTATTTTAAAAAATTAAGTGGCGACTCTTTTTTAAGTATTTTTCTCAAATTGTTTTATAATTAGAACATTTCAAAAAGTGATTTTTCTAATGATAGTAAAATTACGGCATATATATATATATATATATATATGATAATATTATTTAGTCAAGTTACCCACATATAAAAAATTAAATTTAAAAAAACATAAAACTTATTGGGAGAATAATCTCCCTCTAAACAAAATTCTTAACAATTACATTGTGGATGTTATTCAATTCATAAAACTCCAGTTTTTTCCTCCGAGAAAGGAATAATCTAATATTGAAGAAATTTATATTTTTCTTTCACAAAAAGTAAAAACAATTATGGTAATGTTTTGATTTTCTTTCAAGAGAAAAGTAAAATTTAAACATGGCAAGAAAATCAAAACAAAATCCTAATAATTCTCCACTTTTGACTAGATTTTTTTGACAAAAAATTGATCTGACTTCTTCACATGTATAATAATCTTCTTTCTTGCATAACCAGTGATTGTCATGGATTAAAATAAGATTTAAAATGTATGGGTTAAAAGTAGTTTGAAAAAAATTACTTTTATTATTTTTAAAGATGCAACAACAAAAATTTTAAAATATGGTTAAAACTTCTTCTTCACATATAGTTGGACAAAAATCTTCATTATCGTCAAATTGATTGCAAATTGACTTGAAATCACTTGAACTTGTCTTCAACCTTCTTCAAATATTGGATCATTGGATTATTGACTTTGATACCACTTGTTGAATTGAATATTAGGGCGTCATGCAAAAATTTACAATTACAAATCATTGTAGTAATAAATTATTTGATAGAAAAAAAATTATATCAAAATCATAATAATATTATATGATTTGATCAATTGGTCTATAAGTGAAAAACAAATATGAAGAAATCATAAAAACTATCGAGAGAAAATCTCTCACCAAACAAATTTTTTTATAGACTACATTATAAATGTTATTGTGTTATGATATGAGAAGAACAATCTTCAATCTATAAAACTTCAAACTTTTTTCTCTAAGGAGAAACTAATCAAATATGAAAGAGATTTATATTTTCCGTTCAGAAAAAGTAAAAACAATTATAATAATACTTTGACTTTCCTTTTAGAGAAACATAAAACTCAAATGTGGTAAGAAAATCATAACAATTATTTGGGCCTACATATCATGAATATGTAAAAAAAAAAAATTCCTTCCCAATAACCATGACACCCTTCCAATTGATTTTAATTAGGTTTGGATTTGTAATTAAGAGAAGTAGATTTTTCTGGTACTTTGATTGGTGACAATTGAACTTTATCAATTACTTCTTCAATAGCTCAATAGTCAATGTAAAGAATAAGAACATATGATTGCAGAACTTGATGTACTATATAAATTCTAATAGATTTATCTTGTTTAATATTTTATTTAATAATTCTAATGAGTTAAATATAAGTAGACCTTAGTAATTTCTATTGAAAATTATTTTCAGTTAATGTAATAAACTTTAGCATAATAAGTTGTTTAGATTTAGAATAAATTTGAAATTTATATTTTTGGTAGGTCGTTTTAGTTGTTGAAAGTTGAGATATTTTTACATTTTTAATTATGTAGATTTTGTGTTTAAGTTACCTATTTAAGCTCTTATATACTGAATATAATGACTGATAGACATTTTTAACCTTTTTATTGTTGTCTCATCATTTGAGAAACAAAAAATGGTATCAAAGCCTCATTGATCTTCTCTCTTACTTTCAAAAAAAGTAAAAAAATAATTATGACAATACTTTGACTTTTCTTTTAGAGAAATGTAAAACTCAAATGTGATAAGAAAATCATACTCCCTCCGTCTCATTTTTTGTGAAGTAGTTTGACTCGGCACAGAGTTTAAGAAAGAAGGTAGACTTTTAATATTTGTGGTCCAAAATGAATGATAGAAATTTGTGTGGTTGTAAGTCATTTCATTAAGGGTAAAATAGACATTTTATAATTAAACTGTTACTTAATATAGAAATATGTCATTCTTTTTTGAACTGACTAAAAAGGAAAGTAAGTCATATAAATTGGGACAAAGGGAGTAACAGTTATTTGGGACTACCATATCATGAAAATGTGAAGAGAATCTTTTCCTTCCCACTAACCATGACCCCCTGCACCTCCAATTGATTTTTATTTAGTTTAAATTTGTAGTTAAGAGACTTAGATTTTTCTCATAGTTTGATTGGTGATAATTGAACTTTATTAATTACTTTTTCAATAAATCAATAGTCAATGTAAAGAGCACATGATTGTAAAACTTGACGTACTATATAAATTCAAACAAATTTATCTTGTTTAATATTTACTTAATAAATCTGCCGAATTAAATATAAGTAGACATTTGTAATTTTTATTGAAAATTGTTTTTAGTTAATGCAAAAAACTTTAACATAATAAGTTGTTTAAGTTTAGAATGAATTTGAAATTAATATTTTTGATAAGTTGTTTTAGTTTTTGAGATATTTTTAGAATTTTTAAATTTTAAATTATGTAGATTTTGTGTTTAAGTTGACTATTTAAGATCTCATATGCTTAATAAAATGATTGGTGTTATAAAATGAGTATCAATGCTAAGATAACAAGAAAGATGGATAAAAAATAGTATGTGTAGTATTTTTCTTTTCACTTAATCTTGCTTCTCTCTTTGTTACAAGAAAATATATATAGTTGTATATACTTGGGTACCAAGTGTAACACATGTATATTTTTTTGAATATATCAAGGGGGTTCAAAAAGAAATTAAGCACGATAATAATATCCATAAATAAACGGGTCGGATCATATATGAATAGATTGAATAACAAACGGATCGACAAAAAAAAATCCTTAGTTCAAATAATTTCTTACAATTACAATTATCTTAAGAAACAAATTTAAAGTACATATCTATAAAATGATAATAAAGTAGCACAACTCATTCAAAAATTTCTACAAGTCCTTCAATTCCTTTAGAATTCTCTTCGGCTCCTAAAAGTGCAAATGAAGAGCAAGCACAAATTTAACATTAGAAAGACTAACAATAAACACAAATCAAAGCAAAAACACTCTTTCTTCACAAAAATTCTTTTTGGCATAAAATGGCTTTATTACATCACAAAACTACACAACCTTGAAGGGAGGTTAAGAAACCAAACATGTGGATAAACCTATCAAAAAATAGTTTTACATTTGAAAGTGCAACTACATACATTATTACAATTGTATTCTACGATGTTTCATATCTTGAAATGTCTTAATAATAACATCATTAAAAATATTATCAAATACATTTTTTTCTAAATAAGGTACCAAACAACCACTAAATAAAATCATCACTCATTTGACTCCGCAAATCATTCTTGATAAATTTTATTGCCGAAAAGCTCTTTCAACGGAGGCAGTGGCAACTGGTAAAAGTAGAGCAGGTTTCACTAAGCGAAATACCAGAGGATAATTTGAATGTTTTTTTGTCTGAACTAATCTTTTGGAAAGATCACAAAGCCCATTTAGATCCGAGAACCTTTCATCAACATCACGAACATCAATAATGTAATTTCCAAGTTGATTCTCAAGAATACTCATATTGGATTGATCAAAGTCATCTAGATATAATTCAGTTATTCTCATTACTTTTTTTTATGTTAAAACTTGAAAATGAGTTAATTGGATTCAAACAAGCAATTCCATGAAGCAAGTCGGTAGTCACCTCATCAAAACAATCATTAAGTTCTTGAAGTTGTCAATCAATGATATTGCGAAACACTTCAACACAATAATGATGTAAGATTGTATAGTTAGCAAGTTTCCGCCGTGATCTTAAAGAGCTAACATATGGCTCCTCAAAGTTAGGTATCAAAACATCATGTTTGATACAAAATGAAGATACCTTGGCAATAAGAGAATCACATTCATCATCTCTTAAGACTTGCAACCTTTTCTTTGCTACTTCAACAAGTAGCATGATATTTGCAATATCTTGCTCTTTTTTTTGTAGCATTTATTAAGCTCATTTGTGATTGCTAAGATATTTCTCATCAAATGCAACATAAACACAATCTCAAATGTTTGACAAGTTTCAAGATGTCCCATTGCCTTGGCTCTTTCATCCATACTCCTTGTATCAAAAGCAAGTGATTCAAGAACCTTAAGAATAGAGCCAAACATAATAATAAAATTGTTAAAGGATTTATAATGCGATCCCCAACGAGTATCACAAGCTCTTGAAAGACCAAATTATTGATTCAAGCCCCTATCGGTTGTAAATTCACCCATATCTAATGTCACTTGAATTGTTGATTTTTTAGAATCTCATAAATTATACATACGCTTAAAAGAAGATCCCAATACATTAAAAATATTTGAGATCAATACAAATTTTTCCCCTTCAACACACTTTTTAG